GCAGAGCCCAAAACCTCATGCAAGTGATGGGTGGCATCACTAGCGAGGGAGAGCTGCCTTGCCACGAGAATCTTGGCACATCACGACTCGCAACAATTTTGTGAAGTCACCCCGCCTTGACGAACGGCAATCTACCGGAAAGCGGGCTCACAAAACTCATCGCACAAAGGCTACTGCCTGTTGCTCATCCACTCATTGTCCACTGCACCAAGGAATCAAAGCAGGTCGGCCTAAAGCACTCCACCAGAAACGTCACATTGGCCAATTTGGCATGCAGTGTGGCTCTTTGCAAGGCTACTTTTGACTTGCCGACACTTCGGACTCATGTCCCTGTCCACGAAACGCCCACCTAGCTCTTCTCCTTTGAGGAAGGGCATCATGCCAAATCTGCCGCTCGCTGTATCTTACACGGTGCATTGATTATTTTTCTCATGATCAGCACCACTGCTCAAACCACTGATGAGTGCCCAAATGCACATGGTATGATCAAATTCCAACAAAGTGCACTCAAAGGTGAATGTACATCCAGGACTAAGTCTTCCGTTGGAGGCATCAAGTCTTCCATCTTCGATTGTGCACAGGTTGTGCTGGTGTGACTTTGTGATGTCGTGCCTGCACCGCAAGACCATGCGCCGGCTGCCGGTGGCAAGCAAAAGCTTCTTGGAAAGCAATTTTCGAGCCAAACTGCATCATGGGCAGAAGCGAGCTTGTCAAGCCAGAGCTGCTGTCACACTTGGCCTGAGCAAGACTGTGAGTTGTAGTCAGTCTGAACAACTGCCTTCAGCTAGCTTCCCATCTTAAGAGTATTTCAGAGTCAGTCAGCGCAAGCCTTCACCTTGCAAGCTGAATGCGGGCTTTGCAAATCAACAGGGACACCCCACAACGGTCCCCTGCAACCTGTCGACAGCATCTTACAAAGTGCCGTTTCCTCAGAAAGGGCATCTGTGCCCCAATCTGACACTGAGCTCACATCAAATGCATGACCCCTACCATCGAAGACGCATCCAAGTAAGCTGATGCCTTCTTCGCTTGGCTCAGTCAGTGACTGTATACAAAGTATGCGAGGGTCTCTGATTTGGTTTCCAAGAACATGTGAGAGCATTTCTTGAGTTTTGAAGCCAGCGAACATACTTTCTATACGGTGAATGCACATCCAGGCCCAAGTCTTCCGTCAGAATTAGGAAAGGCAGCCAGTCTTCCATCTTTGATACTTCTACAAGGCGGCCCATGTCATGGTACGAAAGTTTTGACGGAGAAAAGGCTACTCCTGGGTGTCGCGCGTGGGCGATCGAGGGTCGGGTCTTCCATTCGCCCAATGAGGCTTCACTGTGAGTCCAAAAAGGAGCGCTGAACCGCATCAGGGTGAGTGTGTTACCATGCCTTACCTGCCCTCCACATACTTGTGCATGGACGCTCACACTGGAATTTCTCCTTCAAGAATCAAAATTGGCCGCTGCGGTCAATCTTTGTCATCACGTAGCTTGGCACAGCCAACCGTATTGCCATTCGAAATGAGGGGCATCTCTGCGGTGGGCTGGTTCTGCGTTGCTACAGACCAAACACAGGAATCCCACATATTTTGCACAACATCCCTTGGACTATGAGAGGTGCAGCAGAAAGGACTGGATTCTTTTGACGTCGGGCTGATCGGACTGCAGGTTTTCCATGGCACTTGCGACCTGGCGCGAAAGGAGATTGTAAGGAAAGAGGGCTGACAGTTGCCATCCTACACTTGAGGCCGCTCCTGGAGGAAACCAAACTTAAGATAGATATATAGGCCTGACACATAACGTAGCATTGGAATGTTTCGTATGCTCTTAATTCTTTAGCTCGTGACTCGAATACTTACAATACGTTTCTTTAAAAGGGCCCCAATGCAAACCCATAGTTTTTTTTGTGCCCCTACACACCCTGGCCCTGACGCACCTTGGCACATCCTTCAAGCCGTTCCAGTTTTATGTGTTTGCATGCTTTACACACGGTCCAAACAGCAAACGTCCAACCACCTCAGCTAGTGGCTGTTCGTGACCGGTTTGTATTCACTCCTGAATGCGGCCCTCAATAACGTGGAACCAGCCAAAGTTATGCGTATCAGAATGAAACATGCATATATTTATAGAATTTTATAGAAAAATAGTGAGAATGACAGCTCGGCCTGGGATGCATTCAAAGTGTAATAGTAAAATGCAAACAAATACACCACAAATGCAAACAACATGCACAAAAAACATGCAATATGAATGCCACAAAAAAGAGCCCAAACAATATGCAACAAAAAATGCAACATCTTTGAACCGTCTTTGCTGTGGCTCTATTTTTCATTAGGTTGCAATCTTCGAAAGTGCAGGCAGAATGGATGAGGCGAATCGAATGGAAAACAACAGGCCCAAAGACACATGCTAGGAGATCCCAAGTATCAAGCGAGTCTGCTTTGGAGGATCTGATTATGAAGGGCACTGTACAAGATTGTACAAGGTTGAAATGACGCACAAACTAGACTCCCTGGAAGGAACGTGTCCTGAAACTCTCTAGTTGAAACATATGTCAGAAAATGATTGATAACGGGCAATATGTGTAAGCATTGTAGAATGATTGATGAGAACAGCAAGTAGAACTTGCGCGGAAACATTTGAGTGATTCTGAAGCGATTCTGAGGGTCTACAAGCAGCTGCAGTGGCCTTCACATCAGTCCTCCAACACGATCGAAATTGATTCTCATCAAAACCTGTCCCCACCTGCCTGGAATGACGGTGAAAACACTGACTCAGTGCTGTGTTGTGCTTTCCACAGGCAAAAGGTGCTGGGCACAGCTACTTCTCAAAACGATCCAGGATAAGCTAAGTGTTCTCAGTATTTGGAGCAAGTAAACGCATCAAAGTTTGGTAGCTGCCAAAAGAAGTGAACCCTGGGTGCATTACTTTGTTGTTGGAACATTGTTGGTTTGCTGTATTGTGTAGTGGGATCAGTTGCGTTGGCGCTGTGACTGAACTCACTAGTCATTCCGAAATTTTGAGCTTTGACAGAAGCACTGCAGGCAGAAACTATCAGAAACTGATCACACCATCGCCAGAGTGCAGAGTTCAATGCAATGCTTCTAAGGCAAACAAAAACAATGCAGCTGTTGCAACAGAACCAAGAGGGAGCACTGCAACACCGCACACTTTTGGGGCGTTGTTGCAAATGTCCGGCGACCGTTGGCTGCCGGCTGGGCGGCCCACTGAATCAAAAATCCACATCCGGTGAATATGGACATTCGCTGAAGTGACCGATGTGAGTCCCCATCTCCAGCAAACATGCCCGCGCTAGCAAATATGCAGCATCAGCGGCTGAATTTGGGTATCCGAGCAAACACTTGATGTAGTGGTGCTTTGCAAAGTCTCTAGCAGTAACAGGATCGCAGTCGTCGATGCTTTTGTAGCGCGCCGCTGCCAGGACAGACTTGGACATGAGGTAGGGTTGAAGTTTTGCGCTGCAAGCAACCTTTGTTGCGATCACTTGGTTGTAATCTAACCAGTCTGCAAGGACCAGCTCTTCGTTCTGAAACTTGTAGGTGTTTTGGATCTGATCACATTTGGCCTTTGAAACAGATATCCACTCGGTGTTGTTCTGCAGAAGTGAAGGCTCCAAACCTTGCCCCTGCAAATATCCCAAGGAGTAGCCATAGAGGTCGTCATAGGAATAGTGCATAGCGTCCATATAGGTAGTAATCGCTTTGCCTTCAAAGTTGAAGGTGATCAAAGGGCCTGTGCGTATTTTCGGGCAAAGCAACTTGTAGGACAACTTGGCTCATTGGCTCTCAAAACTTGAGCTGAAAGTCCAGAACACTGAAACGTGTCACAAGCGCCTTTAAGATAGTTGGCGTCATCACAATCCCTCTTTGTGGGCCAGAAACTGGTGTTTGAGAGGTTGCAGCGGGGTCTAAGGTGGGGTGGCAGGCGAGACGGTATGCAAGGACCTTGGAAGGATATGGGACGCAGTACGCTGCAAGGTGCAATTGTGGCAACTTGACATGAGAGGGCCAACAGGGCAATGAGAGGGTGGAGAGAACCTTCGAGTTTACTCAAAGCAACTAGAAAATGAAAAGGACCAAGAACACCATTCACTGCCGTGGTTTGGGTTAGAGCAATAACATTGCTAAAAACCCCTCCCGCAGTCATGTCTGAGGGCCTTTCTTGAAGCCTTCATAATAGGAACCTCGAATGGCGAGAATTGCATGCGATGCACTCTGCACATAATCCGGGTTGTCGCCCAACGGATCCACCCAGAATCCCGTGTAGTTGAAATAGCAAAAGCCATCTTCTCCTGGATGTTCTGCCATCACCTCCCAACTCTCGCTTTCAAGCTCAAAATAAAAAGAAAACTGGGTCAATTAAAGTCATGATTCTGATTCATGATATTCATGGGAAATAGCCCTGCGCCTCAGGCACCGGCCGATAGCAATCATGACCGTGCGTATGGATGCGGCAATTGTTGCTGCAGGGGGCGTTGGCGTTGGGATCACAAGCATCCTGAATCAAGTGCCCGCAATTTTCCAACGACTTGCGGGCTGCCTCTGACTCAGAGGCCAGCTGGGTTTCAATGGACACGAATGCACTGTGCTGTAGCATCCTCACATCCATCTCCAAGCATTCTTCATCCGCCTCAGCAAGCATTGCCAGAAGCAATGGCACAATAAAGCACATCATGGCCATGGGTTTTCAGCTGCAGCGATTCAAGATTGAGCCAGCGGCTGTCGAACAATCTCAAAATCCACGAGGCACGTGTATGATTTGTCTGCATCTTAACGTCAACAAATGCATCCTGCATCTCCCCAACAGAACAAATGCAGGTGCCTTGGCACTCCAGCTGAACATTCTACATACCTACTTGCAGCTGTTCATCTTTCCTTTACCATTTATCGACCACTTCGTTTAGCAGCTGTCCGACTGATCTTTTCTTACAAAGCGGACTTATCTCCACGAAGACGTTTTGCATCTGGTTGTTCATGTTTACGGTTGCCTGGATTGTCTGAAGAGTCCCTGGCGCAACGGGTGAGACCCAAAAAAGCAAGGGAGCTGCATATCCATTAGATCTACATAATATAGTAAAATTATGTAAAATGAACCTGCAAGCCTGCAAGAATTTGTGCGTGCTGATCAAAACTACAATACAATTTCCTTGAAAAGGTTCGCTAATAATGAATAAGCCCTCAGCCCTCTGTCCCTTCATACCATCTTGGACCCAATCGCCTCGCTGGGAACTCTGGAAGATGTTGCCCATCAAAGGCCAGCTGCACATCCAAGCCTCACCGGTCACTGAGCCTCCTTGTTGAGGATCCAAATCCTTCCCTTGTCACCCCTAATCACCGCTATGTAACTGTAAGAAGCCCTTGATGTCACAACAAGACTTCGAGGGAAAAGAACACAAACATCAGACTCCAAAACCTGAAACAGGCAAACTAGGAACAAGTGCATCGCTTCTAGTAACAAGTGCCTTACTAGTAGTAACAAGAAGCTAGTAGTTGGATCCTCTAAGGTATTAAATTGAGTTCAACAGTGCGTTTGATATTCTCCGATACATGTCCAATGATTCCAATGGCCCAAGCCTTCGCGCTGCAGCGCTCGAAGCTCTTCGTTGACCTGTGCCCACGAACGGCTTTCACTGGGAGCATGGCCCAAATAAATGAACGGCTGAACACCTCGTCATGATCTCCCATCGCGCAGGAATCCATGCCCACCAACAAAGTCCTGCCAATCAAAATTCATTCAAGCATATTCCAAGCACATGTGCAAGGCAAGGAAGGAATTGCAAGAATTAGGAAACACAACTTGGAAAATTGAGCAAAAGCACTGCTTGTCCTACTATTCTCTTGCTAAAGGCCTTGTTTGGGCGGTCCTAGTAACCTCTCTCTGACCAGAACTTGTTTCCGATTTCTGTCCTCTTCGGTCGCAGCTTGCGGACCAGCTCCAGAGCTTCGTCTAAGGACATGTGTGTTGGATGACCGGATCTTGAAAGGGCATCCACCATGAACAGATCGATGCCGACAGCGGCGGCTTCTTTCAAGAAGGACATCGTCTTGGGTGGAACGTCCTTGATATCCGAAATGTAAACCTAGGCACGTGGTGATGTGTGACTGAGCTGCAGAAACTAGAGATCTGTTACAGTAGACAAAACTCAGAAACTGACTGACGGATAAAGTTGATAGTGACTAGGGGTGTGACAAGGGGATAGCCACCTTTGAGCTTCCCCCCGAAAGCAAAGCCCAGCGACACATATGTACCGCCATGCCACACCTCAACAGTTTCGGTGGACATCGCCGACGAAACTGAGGCGAAAGAAACATAAAGAAACCATTGAGGTGCCAGCAGGAAACACACGGAGCGGCAAGCCACCAACAAGGTCCATTGTCTCGTCATCAGAAACCTGGACTCTGGGCATCCATTGAATCAGTGTCTTCTCCTTCCTTTCTTATTTCAAGGTGAAGTTGAATCAAGAGCCCTCCAAGCGATCCGAGAGCTCTTCAAGTCCCTCCCATGGAAGTAAGAATCGCACAGTGCGAAACGGCTTGTAGATTAGATTGTAAGGCATCATCAAATCACCAAAGAAAGGGAGGATCTCCTTTTCGCAAAGGCCTCGCCTCCATAAACTCGATGTAGGCAATGCGCCGGCGAAGGACGCCAGGACGCACAAAGTCGGTATTTCCGTCCAAATATGGAAAGGCCTCACGGACCTTGCTGCATCAGGTACAAAGACTTGGTTAAAACCGACCTGAAAACCACCACATGGAATTCATTTGTCCAAATTCCAACTCCCACGACCTTCCTTTGTCTTGACTGCTAGCTTGGAGCGTGGCCCGGTCCAATGTGACTTTGTTGGAGATGATCTGCATGGGGCCAGCCTCCGCATCTGGGAATAGTTACTACTATTCTACCATGAGATAGTATGGTAAAACACTATGACAGACAAAACTCGCAAGCAAACTCAGCAGCCGACTCCGTCTGCCAGTTGGTAGCCGATATGTTCCCCGGATTCGGACCAGAACTTCTCGATGACCTGCAAGACTCAAGAAGCCAAGGCAACGCATGCGCTTCATTACGCTTGGTAGCGCTCCATGCCTGCAAATCCCTCAAATCATCCATGCCGAGCATGGCATCAGCATGGCCATGTGTCACCAGCAAGGCATCGATGTTTCTCACACCGTATTGTGGCAGTGCTGCCAGTGCTGCCTGCAGGGGTAACACATGAGCACAACTACATACTTGCCTGGCATGGAAGGGAAAACACAAACTGACAGACAAAAAGCAAACAAACCAACCAACCAACCATACTAGTATCAATCTGTCAGTGTTAAGTTTTATAGAAATGTATAAAGACTACTAATGACTATACCCAAAATATCCCAAATTGCCAAACATTGCTTGTCTAGTCAATGATTAAATCAGCCTGTCGTAAAGTCTTCCCTGCATCCACCATCACGTGCCGGACCTGCTTGCATGGCACTCACCCAAAAACGGGCACTCCCTTTGACAGCCCAACCAAGCGTGCCAGCACCACCCGGCTCCCATCTGGAGGGCTATATCGCAGAAGCAAGGAGACGTTGAAGCGTCGATTCTTTGAAGATGGATTCTGATGAGCATCCTCAATGCACTGGGTGCTGGTTCGACAATGTCGGTTCAACACTGTCGATTTGTGCGGTGATGAATCCCAGCGAAAGTTGACTTGAAACTGCTGAGGATTGTGAGTGCAATCCTGTGGCTCAGATTTGCTGTGTCTTGGCGCTCACCCAAAAGAACAAATCCAAGGGAGAGTAAAGGAAGGAGCACGCACGTTTTGTGTTTTGAAGTTGGGTTTGTTCAGTTTGTTCCATGAGAACTACAAGGACCTGAGAGTGCTTTCAGTTTGATCCGATGTCTTCTGGGTCTTATGGGCATAGCTTGCAGTGTTGATCCGCATTGCGTGGGTCCCCATCCTCACAGACAGTCAGTCCATCTGCTTTGCGAACCGCCTTGGCCTTGGCCCATCTGCACAATGAACAGGTCAAAGTCCAGTGGATAGCAAGGGAAACGTACAGCAAGTGTAGCGTGGTGCACAAAAAATGTAGCATGTAGATCAGCAAGTGTTAGATAGTGTTAGTATAGCATAGCAGCTAGCAAATTCAAACACAGAAACTTCTGAGTCCCACGCAGTTTCGCAATGTCCTTGTAAGATGTGGGAAAGCTGCGGCACAGCAGTTGACACTCCCGACCTGCCATGGGAGGAAGGTAAAATCCGTCTTGGGCATTCCAGTTGCTCAAAAAGTCAAAAGAAGAGACAGTGGCAGAAGCTGTTTGAGCTTGTTGCTCAGTTTTTACAGGCAAGAAATAGCAGAAAAGACCAGGCATAGAAGGTTCAACACCAAAGAAGCTTCAACACGAACCCTCGCGCGCGTCGCACCCCAACACCACAGCGTCGAAGCTTCCCAGCTTCGGTGGTGCAACATTGCACCGCGGTGCGTGCCGGACGCCTTGACGCACCTCAAGTGTTTGCCGTCAAAAGATGCCAAAAGCACATGTGCCACCCACCCCCTACCCGGCCCTACCCCTACCAATCCAGTGTTTGCCGTGAACTGCACCGCCCCAAAGAACAGCTCGGACTTGGACCAAGGCAGTCGTTGCCATGCTGAAATCCCTACAAGGACATGGCTCATGCCCGCTCAGGACGTTTGTGAAGCTGGTGGATGTACAGATTCTGGAGGGTTGCAACTATTTATATACTGTAAATGGAATACTGTAAATGGAATGCAACAAACCAGGGACAAGTTGGCGACAGTATGGAGAGTCACAGAGATTGTACAGAGGAATTCTGTGAATCTATTGCCATCTGACATGTTCCAGGCTTCACATGTGTTCATGGCCGAGGCTTGCTTGCAGTTACTGTATCTGCTTTCATGCTTTCATACAAAGGAACCTGCTCACGAGTGGGCTGCGGTATGATGCACAACTACCATTGACGTGCTTGGGAACACTCAGAAACTGATGCTCCCTCGAGCTCTTTGGGAGTTGTGCACATCTTCTTAGACGTTGCACTCTGTGAAGATTTCAGCGGATCTTTTTGAAGTGTGACACCTTTCTAAGATACACGTTGCTCAGCTGTGCCACAGAGCTTCAGGGTGCTTCGCCCCCACAGGCCCTGGCACAGAGGGGTCCAACAAAGTCTAAAATGTGGCACGCCTGAACCACAAACGGAATATCCTTCATTTTCAAACGTTCAAAAGATGAGATCTATGCCAAAAGTTACATACGACAATATACAACAAGCTTAAGCCCAACCTGCGCAGCCGATCTGCAAGGGGTGTTTGCTCTGTCTCCTCAGAAGAACCAAAAAGGGCCAAAGGGTAATCTGAAATGCGTTCAGAAGTGTATGGTCTGTAATTATCCCCATGAACTGTGAAGGGAGATAAAAGGAGCAGGAAAAAGGGCTTGCTGAGCAAAAAGCTAGGTATGGTTGAAGTCGAAGTAAACGTTTGGGAAAGCTGTGGGTCAAAGGAGGTTCCACGCTGTCAGTTTTGCCAAGTCTACCACCATTTCAAGCAGCTGCCTGAGCACAGCTGACCCAACTGGTCCAAAGCCCATCTGAACAGCCAAATGATGCACTCAGCTAGTTTGGATGATGTCTCCGTTGTTCCTTCATAATTATCTACAATTGGTGTTTGTCTCAGTTTCTTGACGAGCGAATGTTCATTCAATGCTGAGATGTGCTGAGTTTCCCCACAAAGCCTTGGTGGCATCACCGGTTTCTGCTGCTCGTGCCGCAGCCGCCACCTTTGCGACAGCTGCCGTCGATGCATCACAATCGTGAAGAACATCGCCGGATCTTTTGGGTCGACTCTCAGGTCGTGGCAATGAAGCATGGACGAACATCGCCACGAGTTCGCAGGAGAAGCCGCAACCTTTGGCTTTAAAGGCACATACAGTAGATGCATAATGATGCAATTAGTTGTTTGAACCCGAGAAATGCTGGCTTCCATGTCTTCGACTGTAAGTTGTGTCTCGGGCCGGGTCCCGACATCCTTCTGGACTAAAGCATTGTTCCACATGTCAAGAATACCCCGTTGCACTGGCGTCCGGGGTCAGTACCGGATAATTTCCAGGGACTGACGGGTTTTTAGCCAAAACCGGTGGATAAATTTGAAGGCCAGAGGGCCAACATAAGGCTCCCCCAAAAAAAAGTACACAACCAGTGCAGATAGATAATCTTGAGAAGGCCTGAGGTTAGCAAGCTAGACGAATAGGATCGAGGAACCCCCCACCCAAAAGTAGATGCTAATCGACAAACGAGACAAAAAGAAACGATCCCAGGCCCAGGTTTTTTTCCAACGCTCTATGTGCTCTGTGGTGGTCTGCAAAACTAAGGATTGTTGCGGAAGTCTGCAACCCTTAGAAGGTTGGTTGTGGTTGCGGTTGAGGTTGGTCTGGAATCAATGGATCCAACCACTTGCAATAGAATGTCGATTGCATGGCCCGCAGTGCTGGTCGAACAGTACATTTTGGCCGGTATTTTGTGGACTTGACAGCCGCTCTGGACTTAGGAATGCCAGCGGGAGTTTATCAGGGTTACGATGCCCAGAGCGACAGGGAAGGAGCTTCTTTGTTGAACAGAACTTCTGCATTGAAATTGTTTTGTCCAGATGTCAGCGCACCTTTTTTATATTCGCTGCCGTTGAGCAATTTTTTTGAAAGCTCTCCAGACCTAGCAGAAGCAGCAGAAGAACATTAATTCAGCGTATCCCACAACTTGTCATTTGTATATCCCCCCAACCTTAGACCAAGGAAAATATCCAGGTTGTTTTTAGGACGCACATGTTTCACACGTGTCCTTTTCACGTGCCCCACCACTATTTTTCAGACTCCTCATGTCGAAACACAGGGTCCCACTGAGAATGATCCAGAGCTGAAAGGTGCTGACCAAGAGTGCTTCCAGCTGTTGGAGCAGTTGAAAGCCCGCGGTGACTGATGCTTTGACGTTCCGTTGGCAAGTTTCGCTGACAATTTTTTGGTTCTCTGTGATCATGACGTCCATGGAGCTCGGAAAATCTAACGAGCGGAAATCTAACGAACGTCCAGCGAGCGATGTTCTATCTTTTCTTTCCTTTTCTACTCCCACTACCGAGTGGATAAAATTGGAGCGTTTATTCTGGATATTTTTGATGCACTGACCCCATTTTATCCACCCCAAAAAAGAATTATCCACTCCTTACTTGGGTTGCTGGCAGGCTGGCACACAGATAAAGTCCAGGCACTGACCCCTCCAATTTTATCCACTCAGTCAAGATGACCCGTTACTACCCATTATATCTCTCGACCATTGCCTTTCAGAAAGGATCAAAGAAGACTCCAAAATCACTCTTGGCTCACGACTCATCGGTCAAGGACCGTCGTGATGGAGCGAAATGACGTTCACAACTGCTGAGCATTGCACTGATTCCAGACCTCGGAGTCCCGAAGCCCCGTCGCCGAGACCCCGAAGATGCGGCGCTGAGCTGGAGACTTTCCCACCTTTAGTCGCTTCCTGACAACGAATGATGAAATGATGTGGGATGTCCCTGGGTACATGGTGGCAATCAGTTTTTATGAGAATAACAAGTCAGTGCAATTGACTTTGGCCTGTCCATTGCAGCAAAGAGTGGCCATGCCTGCAATGTTTCAGAAAGGAGCAGGAGGTCTGGTGCTTTTTTTGGTGGAACTACCACCACTATGATTTGTTTGTATAGGCTTGCTTGTGTAAAGGAAGTTCTTTCACATCCGCATCCTACACTGTGTTCAGTTTGGCAATCCGGCTGAGGCCATAGCCACTCGGGCGCCGCCAAGCCTTGCGTGCCGTGTGCGACAAGCGGTTGGAAGGACACCCAAGCGCCGATGGAACCACGCACTCTGTTACATGTTGGAGTGTCAGCGAAGTCATCAGGATCATCAGAACGTCACCTAGATGAAGACCACAGGAGGTTGCCCAGCTCCTTTGCAATGCTGGTAGCAGTCTCGGAGAACTATGTTCCTTTCTTTTCGCATCTATATATGTCAAACAAACAAATGCAAACTGCTTATATCTTGGCTCTACTGAACTCTGTCGATCAAGGCAATAATCTGCGTGGATCACAAAGCCCTGCGTCCTTCGAACCGAACTCCTCCAGCTTTTGCAATGCCGCAGTCGAAATTACGTTCACCAAAGGAGACCTGGCCAACTTCTGTGTCGCACTTCAGCCAGGCGTTCCATGAATTTTGAATGTACTGGCATAGCAGCTTCGATGTCCTCATCCTACAGGTTGGTTTGAACCTAGGCCCTAGGCAATAATTGGGTCTGTAAGGAGTGACATTGACAGAGTCTGTCAATGTCACTCCTTACAGACCCAATTATTGTCAGAGGTGGTCGCCCCATGTTGTCACTGCATAGCAGGCGTCCGATTTTTTGTCATAGCTGTCATCTTAATCCATTTATGTGCAGATGTTTGAGAGAATGCTCAAAAAAGACATCGCCGGGCACACTAAGCAAAGCTCATTTCTGCACCTGGGTGGCAAGTCTTTCTCCGGCCCGCCAGCCCAACATGCCATCAACGATACATTCTCAAGTTCTCAAGGCTGGCCATGCTGTTGAAACTCTATACACCGGTCAAACCACTTGTCTAGATCCCAAGTGCTGGTGTTGTTTGTTAAACGTTCAAAAAAACGATCTAGTTTTGGCAAAGAAACAAAAGTATTTGAGTTCCAACCAGATTATGAATCAAGCAGCTCCTATTGATCAAGCCTTGGGGCCCAGCAACCTCATGCAATGTTCGCCAAATGTTGTGGTTCGAGATCAGCTTGTCTCACCTTTCAGCACCAAGGCAGTGAGAAAGCAATCCTCACTTCTTAACGACCATCGTTTGAGGCCGATCGTGATAAAGCGACACCAAGAGATCCAAGACGCAAGCCATCTGGGATGTCATGAGTTCGAAGCTCACATTGGTCTGGATCTGGAGTACCTTGGAGACTCCCAGACTCACAAAGCACGGCAAGCCTGATACATAGCAAATCTGCAACTGTTGTTTGAAAACAGAATGTGCAAAAGCCTGCCTGTTATTCAGCATAATTGAGGCATCCGGTGTGGCAGTACAAAGCAGTGCCAGGCCACGGGTCCCCGGTCAATGAAGGGTGATTAGGCATCTGGCTCTGAAGTTCTATAAGATGTTTGCAGTTTCCTGCTGGGACTCCAAGCAGCTGAGAACCCTCCTTCTTTTCAGCATTGTGTTGGCTGTCCTGTGGCCGAAGCTACGGTGCCTTCATCATGCTTGCAGTTGCCTTAGCCACTTTGTGTCAAAGCCTCTTTTGTCACACAACACCAGACACCACCAAAGCATTCATAGCACATATTCAGATACCAGTATATACTCAACTTATTTCAGCTCCAGTCTTTTCTGACACGTTCTGCTCTTGGATTGCTATTGAGAGCCTGACTATTCCATTCAATGTCGGTGCCTTCTAGAGGTAGCAGATGGCGAAAGACTGCGCTATGTTGGCCAAGTGCTGTGGAGAAAGCTCCTCGCATCTGGCAAGCCTGCGGCGAGTGCTCTATTGGATCACGCGGAAACCACCTTGGAGCACAGGAAGTTTGTTATCTTGCACACTATGGACTATGGCCTGAAAATTGTGGACATCTGTTGTTCATATATACGTTTGACAAGTTCGGACTCTGGAATTCCATAGGCTCAGTCACATAATTGCTGGCCTTGTCTGACGTGTATGTTGATAACGGATGGATTTGCAGCAACGAGTCCAACATCCATAAGATCTACCGTAATCTCTCCCGGCCTGCTGGCCGAAGCTGCCTCTAAGAACTACTTGTCGAAAAGGTTGAGGGTCCTCAATTAAAGCTTTCTCAGTCAGTTGCCATTTCTTGTCGCCAACACATCCAAGCTCCACCTGAATGCCCAAACGGCATTGGAAATCTCTTACGGGCGAAATTCGGCCTTGGGAAGGTTTAATCTCAAAGAAGCTTGGTACAGGTTGAAACACAAAAGGCATGATTGAGTTTAGTGATGCTATGTGGTGATAGAAACACAATTGAGTTGGTATGCTGGGCGTCGTACGAGGCGAGAAAGGGTTTGCTTTGATGCGATTTGAAGGGCCTCGAGCTGATCTGTTCAATCAAATACAGCACAGGGTCAAGCAATGCATTTCCAAGTCTCAAACTGGTTGGCCATTCCAGAGCAATGTCGCTAGACTTCAGCTTCTGTTTGCCTCAAATGTATCATAGCACTAAAAAGTGGCATGCCCATGTGGTTAGGCGGTGGCCAAGCACTTTGGGTTGAACTCATCATTGCTCATGTCAATCACCTTGGAGACTTGCGGAAAATACTGACTGTTTCAAAGTTAAAGTCACAGGGACAGTTTTGCAGGAATCTAGCTGAGTCTTAGGTGTTCCACCGCTCGTGCCAGCATGGAAGTTGCCAGGGGCATGTCCTGAATGTCAAATCAATAGAATAGAAAATGGAATCAAAATTGTTCTGGACTGGAACGAACGGATCATTTGATGAGTCAAATATGCCGTTTCACTTTGGTCTCTCTGCGACCTTCCATAGATGTGCCACATGAGTTCTTGCGCTAAGTCCAGGACGATGCCCAAATCCCTTCCACCCTGCAGCTTCGCCAGTCGATAGAGTGCAAAAGCCTGAGCCGCTCAAGCACTTGAGTGAGGGCCAAAACGAAGGGCTACGAAAGCCTTCCAACACGTCTTTGTCGCGCAAAATCTCTGACTGAGTGAAAGGCGACATCGTTTGAGTTGAACATGGGCCTCAGCAATCGTCTTAAAGCATTGACCGCTTCGACTTCATCTGTTGTCCTCAAAAACCTTTCCGAGGCTTCGGCAGGAAACGGTCGCAAATGTCCAACAATTCTGGTACATCTTTGCACCGCATCATCTGCCAGGCGACCCCCGCAGAATGAAATCTCAGTGGGGTGAGAGGGATCACGATGACGCGCTTAGATATCAATGCTTGTCCTCTCGCCTGCACAGTGTAAACCTGCCGGGCATTGCCTCTGATGTCACACGAGAATGCCAAGCGCCAAGAGTTTGTGAACTCTTCAACCGTGGGCTACTTACTTTGAGATTGGAGATATGACGCAATCAAAACCTGGCCTGACCCCTAGTGTCGCCTTGGCAGACTTGCCTCAATCTCATGTTCAAAGTCATAGAGCATGTCCAGGTTTTGTTGGCATCACAAACGACTGCGCGACAGACAGAGAGCCGCCGCAAGGCATTGCCGCACGCTGGTTGCATCAGACTCACTGGAAAGGCTTTTCTCTAGAGGATCACGTTCCATGCAAATCATAATCATAATATCATAATATCAATATTTCGACATTGTGCGTGCCACATTCCTGTGGAAATGGACGTTGGATGTATGATATGCTTGGCATGGACATTGCATGTCTTTGTTTTCTTTGTTATGCGAACGAATTGGGCTCCTAGAGGTGAGAACGTCGCGTTGTTTTCAGCTCCTCTCGACGGTCACAAGGAATAGATCACTGGGGACAATGGAAAAACAATGCATCCGTTCATTCAACATGTGCTTGCAAGAGAACATTTGAGGAAACAAAAACCACAAGAAAGTCGCTAGATATTTGAGCAAGTGCTCAGCAGACAACCCAAGGCATTGCCACAACCCTCAGGTGCTCTTTCGCCACCAATCATACTCTCATCTGAAGCAAGCGAGCGCATTCACTCAGCTTCCAGACAGTAACACGGGCCATCGAATTCTTTTCAAAACTCCAATGACCACGGGAAAAAACTGATCGAGAACTCGAGAACATTGACATGACAAAATCTGTGAACGCTATCTCGCTTTCATCTCATTGATCGCATCGCCTGCGATACCAGCCTGTAGCAAGCCAAATAAGGTCAAGAACTACTAGGAGCAAGGACGCTACTAGGGGCTCCTGGCCGTACTACTAGGAGCAAGAAGCTACTAGGGGCTCCTGGCATCGTTACTAGGAGCATTCTTACTACTAGTAACAAGAAGCTGCTAGTCAAGAACAACATTCTCCCTTCGTATCGCGTCATCGCGTCATCTCAGCGGATCACCCGTTCGGTTCATTTCATTGGATGACAATTGTTGAAAATCTGAGGCTTCAACGATGGCTTTGTCATCGGCACGTGGCAAATAGTAATACCTCAGTGCAAACATGTCCAAACATTGGAGGATTCCAGTTGGCAGGCCAACTGCTGCAGCCTCCGAACTTCTCAATGCAGCCTGGGCACCTCCCTTGAGCTCGATCAACCAATGTCTTCGCAACTCCAGAAGAGACATACTTGTTTTCTGTGTCGATGAGCAAAAACTTGAAGCCTCTGCCACCAGTGGCGTGACCATGTGACGACTGTGATAACAACACAATAGCACATCAAACAATATTGTTTGTTTGTTTTGCAGCCGCCTAGTGCTCTCATCTTGTCCGCAAGAATGTAGGCTTCTTCCTAACAGAAAACAATAGAAAACACTTTGAAGACTTCACATGTGTGTATCTGTCACACAAGAGCCACTTGTGGCACTGCTGCAGAGTCTGCAAAATTGGAGCCTGCAAGTCTTCCTTCGGCACTTTCTTCATTTTGCCATTCTCATCCTGGCGCAAATCGAACATCCAGGAAATTAATTGGCTAGGCCTTTCCTTTCAGCCAGTTGCAAAGCTGGTTGAGAAGGAGCTAAGTGGTACAGCCGTCAATTCTTTGCCCGGAACAAATCCATTTGTGAAAGCCCGGTCCAGAGCGGTTTCATCACCCTCGCTGACTGCAAGAGGTACATTCGCACGGCCATCGGTGATGGCAACCACACAAACCTGTGGGCTGTGCATGAGTGAAGGCAAGAAGAGTTATCGGCTTTGCTTTGCGTGTTCATGTTCTCGGTGTGGGAGAGTGGAAAATGAGTGGCATTGCCGCAGAATATATTTATGTTCAATACATACTCTTCACTCTGACTCAGACTTCCGTGCAAATCAGACTTGAAGTTCCAAATGAACTTTGGCCTGGCCAACATCGGAACTCTTCATCGCATTGGTCCCAAGTAGAATGGCCTAGACGAGCAAAGTCTTTGAGGGCTGGGAGATGCTGGGAGTCTTTGAGGATCAAACGGAGTCTTAACTAAGCTAGAGTCTAAACGGGCGGATCTTCCGTGTCCGCGGTGTTGATTGATTGTACATGTATATATTATACATAATGTGTGTGTGATTGTGTGATAGTGATATTGTGTGTCCTCATTGTCGCCTTCGGTGATCTGAACTCCAGTACAACAGAGTGAGTATCCCTTGAGCCTGGGAAAGGGCATGCGCCAAGGGTGTTCCTCCACCACATGGCAACACCTGCCAAGAAGTGAGGGTCTGGAGTGCTCAAGAATGAGAATTTGGAAGTTAAAGGATCTATTTCCTTGCCGAAGCAATCGCCTTCATGCTGCCACTGGCACGAGCCACAGAAGAGGTTGGCTGAACCAGAACCTCCACATGCAACGACTAAAAATGCTTGCTTCCTAGCTTGACCATTCGATGGGATGAGACTTGGCCTCTGCTGAGATGCCACGGCAAGGCACTAGCGCTACCTGGAAAACACTTGTCAATGTCAACCAAAAAAACAAGTTCGAGTTGATGCAAGCATGCAATGCCCTTGCAATGTCCGCGCAAAACTGTACCATGCACGATGTTGGAGCCTGTCCTGGTCACGATTCTGATAGGCGTTCTCAAGCAATCGCAAGACTGCGCCCTTCGCATTTTGCATGCGGTTCAGGGCCATTGATCCTCAGATCCAAGTGACATCTGAAGACTCCCTCAAAACGGGTTAAGCTTGCAACCACTGGCATCCACGACAAAGATCACCAGGGCACCCGCCTGTGAGACTTGCCATGAGTGTCTTGGTAAAGCCTTCGCTCTTCATTTTGGTTCAGATGCAAGCCTTCCGAGCCATCTTCTTCACCCAAATGTCACTGCGCTCAATGTACACATTGCGCTGCTCCTGTCAAAGAATTGTCAATTGACAGAGAACTGGATGAAACCGGTGGAGGCTGCTCGGCTCAAGTCCTCCGGTTTCAATTTCTTTGCCGCCTCTTCTCTTCTCATCTTTTGGTAGACCACAGCCTTAGCCAATGATAAGTTTTTTCCGTGAGTCTGAAGAAGCACTCGGAAGAGAAGCAACTACATCATTCTCTAGAAGAGGTGGAAGGTTCCTTGATGTCTCTTGGACCTTTGGAGAAAGAGTGATTGTTTCGTTGCTACCTGTCATGCCTTGGATCATTTAGTCGTCTTTTCTGGGCAGCACGCATTTCGCAGCGTGGCGTCCAAAGCAATCTTCCCACTCTTTGTATCACCACCCTTTGGCAACATTGCCTGACAACATATTCAAGGCTGAGGGCTTTGCAGCTGTGCAGCAGGAAGACTGCAAGAATGTTAACTGAAAAGGGTGCATGTGTCGAACATCTGTTGCCCAAAGTCTCTGCTTTGATAAACCAAGAAGACCTGCGGCCTGCGTTCTAACTTCGATGGTACTGCATATATATATATATATGTGTGTGTGTGTGTTTCCGACCGCGATCGACTCCACCTTGACGTACCGACCGCGATCCATTGAGTAGATCTTGTTGCCTTTGCCACTGCGGCCTTGGAAACAGCTGAGAAACGCTCAGAATATATTCAGTGTCTCCACCTCCAAAGGTTGCCAAGTGACAGTACCAATGGGGTCCAATCTTGTCCAACAGAGTCACCGGACTTTGCATGGATGTCAAAAAGTGCAGAATGTGTACAAGTTGCTCTAAGAGCCTATGTAGGCCTTCATAAGATGAACAGAAACAAATAGCTATTTATATCTCCAAAAATCTCGAAAAGGGAACAGTAAGTAGGCAATTGATGGCAATTGCCTTGCGCAAATATACGAAAAGTGCCTTGAGTCTCTGCATCAAGGACTCTTTCTGAGGGCCTAGCCACTCTTCTTCTGCTTCTGCTGGAACTTGAGGAGGTCAGGATCGACCACTGCACCTCAAATTGATAAAGTATATACTTCCGGCATCTTCCACCACTTCAGATCCATGTCATGTTCAAAACAACTCCTGACTCAAGTGACTCAACATAAGCGCCTTCGGGGTCAATCATGAACTCTTCAGGGACATCCGGATCCTGGTCTTCCTGCAGGAAGCTAGTTGGCAAGTTGGAGTGGTGTTTGCGCGCGTGCGTGTTATATCTATCAATGCATTGACACAACAGGTCGGTACTCGGCCAGATTGGCTCTCACGCAGCAGCCCCATCAATCACCCACATTCAATGCACACTCGAGAACACATGCAAGCTGCAAGCCGCCTGATCTTGATCTTCATCAGGTTCTTCCTCTTCCTCCTGTTCTTCCTCTTCATATTCATCCTGTGTGCACGGAAACTGGAAAGCTATAGCATCTTCATTCCACCCTTCCAGTTGGCAGAAGACACAGGTCCATGTCGTTTTTATCATATATATATAGACTACTCACTGCAGGCCTGCTCAGGCGGAGGCTCCATCTCCTTTGGTAGTGTGTGCTTATGATGTTGCACTTCTACGTGCCAAACATGTTGGGATAACGATACATGACCAAATAGCCAACAGCACGTCTACAATTTCACATCGTTTTAAACTTTGCACGCGACGAAAACATAAGGGGCACCAAGAAGCATAAGAAAACCCCGTCACTGTGTGCTCCTCGGGGTCTTCTTGGTCAGGCTGTGGGGGTGGCGGTGGTGGCGGTGGCGGTTCCTCTTCCTCCTGGCATTCATTCGCCCACCGGTCCACATTTCACATGTGGACAGATCGGTTGCCGAAATGACTAGATGTGTCTCACAGTGATTTCAATGTTCCTGTTCAATGCCCTTCTGCTGATCAAAAGTTATAATGAACTTGTCACAACAATGGAGCAAACTTGGCCTCAATTTCCTCCTGCATTTGTGCTTCCTGAACTCTGATGCGCGGCCTCAGCACTCTGTGATTTGCATCGACAACAGTAACAACCCCACCAAGGCAACGACAGGATTGCAAGTTTGATGGCTTGTTTCAGGTCTTCAGCATTGCAAACGTCACGGCCTGCAATGTCCGAAGCTGTCTTTTTCAATTGTTTTCACTTCCAGCGAGACAGGTCAACGTCAAGTACCATCATGCCCAGAAAATGCAATACGTAATACCCGCATACCCAACAGACTCGTCACACTACAGCCCCATTGTATGGACCAATCTGCCGAAGTGTTTAGCCAATTGAGCTGCTACAGTAAGCTTTACACTTGCACAAAAACACTGTGTTGGTTGGACCACAGTAGCACCAAAGACTACAGCTTCACACTGGATTGTGGGAAGCAGGGCTGAAAGATTCCCTCTCAATTTGCAGCGGGCACCAGCGTTATACTTTCGTGATTGTGCTGCACAAAATGCCAGACCGATTAGAGGCTACAACCTCATGTCCACCCCAAGGGCGGGTGGGCACCACACAAGCTATCACAGATCGAGTTCACCTTTAATAGCGTCAAGCCGATAATCAAAACTATTGTAATCAAGATGACAATTTGAACACACTTGAGCCAGGTATGCAGAGTACGTGCAGGTGCAGCGGGGCCGGCCCGCACATTTTGGGTACCATTGCAGGAGAGGGGAGCGCAGACTTGGATCTCTGGGCCAGAATTTTGGTTAGCACCACTTACAAAGCTCATCACAAATCTCTACCTGATAGTTTGCGTAGTTTGCAGGCAGGGTTTATTGTAGTAATCGCCGTCTTAGTTGTCATAGTCATACTTGATGGTGGCGTGCTTACAACCTAAGTTGTTACCTGGTGAAGTAGAGTTGTAAAGAGATTGACCTTTGATACAACTAGCAGAAGCTGTTCAAATGCTGGAGAATCTATAAACAACATCGAGGGACTTACAAGTTGGGTGCAGCATACTTACAAGTATTGCTATAAGTTGTGCAAGGACGGAGGGTTTTCATACTTTGCATACTTACACTAGCTGCAAAGCTCTTGGATGGATGGTTTAAATGCAAGCATGCATGAGGAAACTTGGCCGGACCTAAAGTAGTCTTCGCTTCTTTGGAGAAACGATTTCTCGCGCGTCCCGGGCATGGTTTGCATGCTGAGCTCTGTGTGGGATAAATGATTATGTATCTTTTGGAGTTGAGCTCTGTGTGGGTGGGGTTGGAAACAAAAAATACTACTACTATCTATTATCTACTATCTACTGCTACTGCTGCTGCTACTACTACTACGACGATGACGACGACTACTACTACTATTATGAGTACTACCACGACTACGGCTACGACAAAAACTACAACTACTTGGATGGTCACGCGCCTATAGCCACTGCTCGCATACATGCAGTCGATCATAAGTATGTCAACTGTTAGTTCTACTTCTACATAAGTGCGCTAAGTAGTGTAAGCGGCGTTTGAAAAGTATGGTTTTAAGAATCAAACCGGGATATCTGCAAAACCTTGCAGCAAATGGTCTAGCAGCAGCAGCAGCAGAAGCAGCAGAAGCAGGAAAAGGAGTAGGAGTAGGAGTAGTAGTTCTAGTAGTCGCCGTCGTCCACGTGGATGTTGTTGTTGCTGTTGTTGCTGCTGTTGTTGTTGCTGTTGTTGCTGCTGTTGTTGCTGCTGCTGTTGTTGTTATTGCTTTTGCTCTTGCTCTTGTTCTTGCTCTTGTTCCTGTTCCTGTTCCTGTTCTTGTTGTTGGTGTTGGAGTTGGTGTTGGTGTTGCTCTTGCTGTTGCTGTTGCTGCCGTTGGTGTTGGTGTTGGTGTTGGTGGTTGTTGTTGTTGCTCTTGCTCTTGCTCTTGCTTTTGTTCTTGTCGTTGTTGTTGTGCTGCTGCTGCTGCTGCTGCTGCTGCTGTTGTTAGTGTATATAGCTTGTAGCAGTTATCATGAATATCAACAATAAGACAGCAGAAGTCTGTGGGGGGGTGCGCATAGGCACGGGCACGGGCAAAACCCTGCCAAAAGCCTAAGATATTTCTATCAAGCGCGTCAAGCCAAGTTCACTGCTAAACCCAAGCGCGCGAAAGCAAGGTGCATCACAAGCACCTTAGTCGCAAGTACCAACATCCCAACAGCCCAACAGCGCCGGCGTCAGTCCACCATCAGCTCTACCAGCGACCAGCACGCACCATACGCACCCTGTGCTCATTGAAATCGCCGTTGGCAGCAAGTTCCAAGCTGCATGTTTTGCAATTGAACCCATCTTGTCCGATGAATCAAGGCGTCACGCCAAAGATTTGGAAGGGCAAATCACACAACAGGTAGATAAGAACAATATAGTCAAAGCAGTGGCAGAGACAAGACCTCCTGAGAAAGGAGAGGACGAAAGCCAGCGAGAGACCAATATGGTAGTGCAAGACTGGGAGGAAAAAATAGCGGAGCACTTATTGTTGAACGCCTGTAGCTTTCGTGGGGCTTGTATCAACGTGGAGTAGATCAAGATCGGAGCACAGCATGGAGCGTTGAATGTTTTAGGTTTGCTCGATTTTCCTGGCACGGTGCTCTCTGGAGCGTCCCTGTTTGGTGGTCTATTTGAACATCCGTGTAAAAATAAACGTCAGTGAAGACCAGGAGAAGGATGCCCGAAAGGTGGTTTTTGGTTGTTTTCAAATGTGTTTCGGGCATCGGGCATCAATGCGAAGCCCTATAAAGAGCAGGGCTGGGAGAAGAAAAAGAGGAGAGCACTCATTCTTGAATGGTTGTAGTTTTCGTGGAGCTGGTATCACTGCGACGTAGATGAAGATCGGAGCACAGCATGAAGCGTTGAATGTTTTTAGTATTCTTGATTTGCTTGGCGCGGCGCCTTCTGGAGTGTCCCTTGTTGGTGTTCTACTTGAAAATCCGTGCAAAAGAAACGTCAGTGAACACCAGGAGAATGATGCCCGAAATGGTTTTTGTGGTTGTGTTGAAATTTCGGGTATCGTGCATCAATGCGAAGCCCTATAGAGAGCAGGGCTGGGAGGAAAAAAATAGCAGAGCACCTATAGTTGAAAGCTTGTAGTTTCGTGGAGCTGGTATCACTGCGACTGAGATCAAGATCGGAGCACAGCATGAAGTGTTGAACGCTTGCAGCTTTCTGGCTTCTCCTCTTGCGGCGCTCTTATCCCCAAGCCTCTATCTACCTCGCCCAACTGGACATACTCACATCGTTCGCTCCCAGAGCGTTCACTCTTTGTTGCTTGGTCCTTCTTGATATGATCAGAGCTACACAGTCCCTATGCCCTGCTCAGGACTAGAAAAATTGTCTCCAGACCCCTTCATGATGCTAATGATGCACTACTCGGCTGTCCATTGCATCACTCGCATCACCAGACCCCATCTTGACTGCTTTTCTGACCCTCGCTTTGGAGCGCTCTCCCCCACCAAGCTCCGGGTATGGAGCTGCCAGAAGCTTTGGTCTCCTTTGGTTGGTACTAAAGAGCGCTTGCGCTGTTGAATATTGGGCTTGGCAGGCCCTCTCGCCTGTTGCTGGGCATGTTTGACTCTTGATGTTCAAGGGTGCAGGCAAGTGCATTTGGACAACTGCCGACTACATCAGCTGAGCCGTGCTTCAATTATTTGGAGCTTCATTCGATGACGAGTACACATGAGCTGTCTTGCACTCGCGTGGTGCTCGGAAGAAAAGAACCTCCGAAGCAGACGCATCCCATCCCATGTGGTGGTCCACATTGAGTGCATTGCTGACGCAGCACCTTGACGAAGTATACTTGGATGATCTTGGATGATTTTTACGAAAGCCAGCCGATAGGCTAGGCTTGAGCTCTTAGAGCGAACGAAGTGAGTTAAGGGGGTGTGGGGGGGGAGGGCGCGAAAAGGCACATTTTGAGAGGATGAAGCACGTTATGTAATGTAGAAAGGGCTGTTTTGTTCGTAACCCGTAACCTCACCTGGACCTGTAGCTTGCCCACAAATCAACTTAGATCGCAACGTTGCAAACCAATTTCAAAACTGTCAAAATGACACCTTGAACATACTCGAACCAAATGCATATAAAATACTATGTGCAAAAGGCCAAGTGAACCTAAAAATCGAGAGAGAAGTCGTAACCCCAAACGCTAGCTGCTAGCACAACCCGCATGAATCAGCTGCACGGAGCCATTGGAACGAACAAATCATAACTGTTCACCAAACGCGAAGTTCTTCTTCAAACGTCCAAGCTTGCAAATGCAGGCCTTGAAGCGCAGCATGAGCACGGGCGATCTTGACGGCAAACACCTCACCGCGGTGACCTGTAAGTAAAGCAAGCTAATTTCATCCAATTTCACTCTCAAAGAATCAAGCTGAAAATCACAGCATGGCAGCATGCACTGGCTTCTGGAACAAACTCTGTCCACACCTTCGCAGCCACCTCGACTGGCTTCCTCGGCAAGGCGTCCCATCTGTTCTTCAGTGATCTTGACCTGAACAGGAGCTTGGTTGAGAATGCGAACAAGTGTCGCTGAAACACCAAGATCCCAACGTCGTTGAGGAACTCACGTGCAAAAAGAAGCTGAGTCCTGAGTGCCCAGAATAAGTTCTACCTTCGACTTAAAGTTACCCGCTGACCGCCGACCCCGGAAATAGTTCTCTATATTATTGTGAAGTGGTCAGACTTTATTTGAGAAATTTATTTGTTGTGTCGTTGTTAGCGGCCAAAACCATTGGACCCTTCTTGAGCGCAAATGTGTTCTCAGTTCTCAAATATACAATAGTATTCAGTATACAGTCTAATACTGCACTCCTCCCGAATAAGCTTTGGTAAGGCCCTCTTGGCTATTGTCCACATGTTAAACCACCTTCTCGGAGAGCGCAATCTTGAGACAGCGACTGCATCGCAGTGATGTCCGCTGCACTTTCTTCCAGAGACTGCGATGGCCTGCAGTATGTATACATCAATATATATATATATATACGTATGTATGCTCACCCCCCATGATCTAACTACCTTTTCCTGCTTTTCGGCTCTTCTACCCTTTCCTGCTTTCAGCTCTTCCACCTTTTCCTGCTTCTACAGCACCTTTTCCTGCTTGTCTGCTGCTTTTCTGTACTGGGCTACCCCTTTGTGGAATAGTTTGTGTTGCAATATTCAGATAAAATTTAGGAAGGGAGTTAAAAAGAAATAACCAAAGAGTTCAAAGGGCAATTAGAAGACATCAAAAGGGACACTTAAAAAAAGGGATTCACACATGAAAATAATGAAAAATGAAAAGCGTAGACTTGATTGCAGGGATGTTAATATGAAAGCCAAACAGAGTATATATTATAGTAGGAGGTGGTTATGCTATTAAAGATTTCTAGTGTACTGAGCTGACCCCTTTATGGAATAGTTGTTGCAATAATAAGTTGATAAAATAGAATAAGAGACTTAAAAGAAAATGGGTAAAGAATTTGTAAGAACGTCAAGAGGAATCAACAAGAATGTATACAAATAGAATTCAAAAGGATTGAACAGGGACTCCATAGGAATCAAGAGGAAGTTCAAAGCACCAATAATTAGGACTGTTAAAAAGGAATTCACACATCAAAATAACAAAAAATGAAAAGCGTAAACGTGAGCGCAGGGATGTTATTATTCAAGCCAAAAAGGACAGACATGTTTGTTCAAGATTTCTAGTGTACTGGGCTAACCCCTTTGGAATAGATGTTTGCAATAGTTTGATAAAATTAAGAAAGTGATCATGTAAACAAGAAAATAACCAAAGAAATCAAAAGGCCATCAACAGAAATCAAAACGATTTCAAAGGAAATCAACAAGGACCAAAAGGAAGTCAGTACAGTAGGTAATCAAAAGAAAAGACACAAGGAATTGTCAAGGGAGTTCAAAAACAAAAGTAATGAAAAATGAAAAGCATAGACATTGTTGCAGGGGATGTGTTAAATATCATACCAAAGCAAAGTGCAAACAATATTTAACGAGTAGTACCATTGACAAATTGAAAAGCGTAGACGCTAGTCCAGGTGTTACTATTAAAGCGAAGAGGGCAAACATTGATGTAGATGGTTTTTTATTCAAGATGTCTAGTCTACTAGGCTAACCACTTTATGGAATAGTTTTTGCGATAAGTTGATAAGATATAATAAGGGATTTTAAAAGAAATTGACTAAAGAAGTCAAAAGGAAATCAAGAGGAATCAAAAGGAATTTAAAAGATGAAATCAATTGAAATCAAAAAGAATATATATCATATTATATATATATATACATATATAAATGTCAATCATTAGAATTCAAAAGGATTGAAAAGAGACTCAAAAGGATCAAAAGGGAAATCCGGGTCCAGGCGATTGTGCTTGTTTTCTTTTAGGGGGTCTTGATTTAAAATCGCTAAAAAGTAGGAAGTCCAAAAATTCAGAAAAGTGTGAACCCAATGTTTCCATTACAGTATTTGTGTGTTTGTGTTTTTGATTCAAAATCGTTAGAAACATGAGTTGGTTTACAATGTTCTAAAATATGTGTTGTTGACTTATTGAAAATTTATCAAAAAACATAGCACTATTCTGAAAAATGCATTTGTAGTTGGGAGCTAAAGAGGGGCACTGATTTCTGATAGGTGAACACATATATAGCTTTTGTATGGGCAGGCCCACGGAAAGCAGCTGTAGGTAATCATGGAGGGGTGCATGCATGTTTGCACCTGTGCAAGTGTTTGTGTGCGAGACTGGGCAAGTTGTCCCTTTAACTATGCTGCTTTGTGTTGCCTTGGAGGCCATGGTGACAACTCTCAGAGGGAGGAACCAAATCATTGGGGAGCTTCTTTGAAGAAGCGTGAGCTACCCTGCGTCCTAGCTAGGAGCGAACTAGTCGTCCTTACTTAATTAAGTAACCGCCTACTTACTTAAGTAACGGAGGCAGGGCCACAGGCCAAACAGAGAGAGAGAGAGAAGCGGGGGTTCTGTAGAGGGAAGCATGGGGTATTCCCGCCTTTCTGCAAAGTCGATGGCAGACAAGGCTGCGCTGACTCGCTCGTCCAAGTCTGTGTAGACAGTGGCCACATCTGTGTTTAGCCTTGGCCATGATCAAACCGACCTGGGACGTTAGCCTAGTAAGTCTGGGATGGTCGGTCTGGTTGATAACAACCCCACCTCCAACTACATTAGTCCTAAGTCTTGGCTCTTGCTCTGAGACTAGCACGAGATCGCCAGTCGATCCAACAAATGGGGCCGCAAAGGACCTGCGTCAGCTCATCGCTTCGACAGAACTGACAGGACAGTGCACGGACACCATCTACCTTCTTCTGGATTCCATGTGGCCACCACCAAGGGTCGACAAGGATGGGCCTCAGATTGGGGAACAAACAAGAAAAAATCCGCCCGCGCCGAAGGTGCTGAGGCGTTTTATAGGGCACGCATGATTCCGTAGTACCGTTAGTACTAACTGTAGCGTTAGCTAGGGGGGGGCCATTTTCGCTCTAGAATCCTGTGTTTTTCACGTTTTTGGAACCGGCTTAAAGTGCTTTCGTGCTCATGTTGGGTATCTCGAAGGCTTTAGGGATGCAAGAAATGCGAGTTTCTGCTTTGCATCATCTGCATCAGCTGAATCATCTGAGCGGCACACTATCTAACGGACATGTCTGCGAGATAGGGACTTGAACGTCCGGGTACGTGGGTGGTCAGGAGCAGAGATAAGCAGGTCAGGTCCAGGAACGGTAATATTATCTCCCGAGCATAGCTCCCATATGGTCGAACATAACTCCAGAAGTCCCTATCTCAAGTACGCTTCCTCGAGATAGGTACTTGAACGTCGTAAACATGGTCTAACGAAGGCTCCCAAGGGACTGGAATAGCGTGAAGATATTGTCTAACCGAGCGCTCGAAGGCACTATCGAAAGGACATGTCTGCGAGATAGGGACTTGAACGTCGTAAACTGGTACGCAACATAGCCCTCGAAGTCCCTATCTAATGGACGTGTCTGCGCGATGGGGACTAGAACATCCGGGAACGTGGCTGGTCCGGAGCAGAGATAAGCAGGTCAGGCCCAGGAACGGGTACGTAAGATAACCCTAGAAGTTACTATCCAACGGACATGTCTGCGAGATAGGGACTGAGCGGTACGTAACATAACCCTAGAAGTCACTCTCTAACGGACATGTCTGCGAGATAAGGACTTGAACGTCCGGGTACGTGGCTGGTCAGGAGCAGAGATAAGCAGGTCAGGTCCAGGAACGGTAACATTATCTCCCGAGCATCGCTCCCATATGGTCGAACATAACTCCAGAAGTCCCTATCTTAAGTATGCTTCCTCGAGATAGGTACTTGAACGAGCGGTACACTATCGAACGAACATGTCTGCGAGATAGGGACTTGAACGTCCGGGTACGTGGCTGGTCAGGAGCAGAGATAAGCAGGTCAGGTCCAGGAACGGTAACATTATCTCCCGAGCATAGCTCCCATATGGTCGAACACAACTCCAGAAGTCCCTATCTCAAGTACGCTTCCTCGAGATAGGTACTTGAACGTCGTAAACATGGTCTAACGAAGGCTCCCAAGGGACTGGAATAGCGTGCAGATATTGTCTAGCCGAGCGCTCGAAGGCACTATCGAAAGGACGTGTCTGCGAGATAGGGACTTGAACGTCGTAAACTGGTACACCACATAGCCCTCGAAGTCCCTATCTAATGGACGTGTCTGCGCGATAGGGACTAGAACATCCGGGAACGTGGCTGGTCAGGAGCAGAGATAAGCAGGTCAGGTCCAGGAACGGGTACGTAACATAACCCTCGAAGTCACTATCCAACGGACATGTCTGCGAGATAGGGACTGAGCGGTACGTAACATAACCCTAGAAGTCACTATCTAACGGACATGTCTGCGAGATGGGGACTTGAACGTCCGGGTACGTGGCTGGTCCGGAGTCTCCCGTATGCTTCCCCGAGATAGGTACTTGAACGTCGTAAACATGGTCTCACGAAGGCTCCAAAGGGAGTGGAATAGAGTGCAGGTATTGCCTAACAGAGATCTAGAAGTTACTACCGAAAGGACGTGTCTGCGCTTGAACGTCGTAAACTGGAATAGATTCCCCCCTAACGTGGCTAAACATAGCTTCCATATTGTCTGGCATAGCATTAGAAGTGATATTTGGCGCCACCGGAGCAAAGATAAACAGAGATCACGTTCCGGAACGGCAACATCGCAAATAACGTGGCCCAAAGAGGGCTCAAAAGGGACTGGACAAGCACGTCTCCTCGAGAGAGGGACTGGAGCGTCGCAGACCGGGACCCCCTTTGCACTCCAGATGCGCGCGCCGACTCCATCTACAGGGTGAAACATGCTCTCTTTTCAGTATAGCTCGAACCACCTGCACCATGTCACATCACGTCCCGTGACGTGTTAACCTCCGGCAGTGGCGGCCCTTCAAACCCACGATTACTTGAAAAGGCCCTTGAACCATCCAATACCACATCATCCCTTCCCCTGATGACTCTGCTTTTCTCTGCTCCAGTTGGACCTTATATTTGCGACGTTCCAGGCGATGTGGAAGCTATGTTCAGCCACGTTGAGGGGGAGCCGTTCTGGGGCCGACAATATGGACACTATGTCGGAAACTTCCTTTCATACTCACTCCCTTGGCTCCAAGAGCACAAGCAGCTCGGGCTTCCTTTTTGGGAGACGGTGGATGTATTGTCCCCTTGCATCCGGTGCGGGCGGTTACCGTCGCGAAGCGACGTGAATACAAATACCGAAGACATGACATGACATGGAAAAAATATGTCTGCCATCATGTCCCAACCTGAGAGCAAGGCCACCGAAAGCCCTTCTCGTTCGACCCTATTGACGCCACTTTCGACTGCCTTGGTGCACTCCACATCAAAGTATGAAACTCTGAAGGCTCCAACCTAATAATCCTAATAGCGATGGCCTCCAACCAAATAGCGATGTCCTGCAACCTAGTAGCGATGGCCTCCAACATCCTCCAACCCAATAGCGATGGCCTCCAACCTAATAGCGATGGCCTCCAACCTAATAGCGATGGCCTCCAACCTAATAGCGATGGCCTCCAACCTAATAGCGATGGCCTCCGACCCAATAGCGATGGCCTCCAACCAAATAGTGATGCAACCTAATAGCGATGGCCTTCAACCTAATAGCGATGGCCTCCAACCTAATAGCGATGGCCTCCAATCGACTCCAACCTAATAGCAATGCGTGAGTTCCTTCCGGACTTGTGATTGATCACGTGCAAAGGCTGCAACCGTCAACAGCAGGCTGACAAGGTCGTCCTGACATGACGAGAACAACCTCATATCTGAGCAGATCCTGCTGCTACTGCTACTCCATGGTTCACTGTCCAGAGTCCACCGAATATGTGTTTCCAATATAGTCTGGACTTGCGCAACATCACACAACTTTCATCCAAACAATCCTGGAGCAAGTTGACATCGTCGATGTACAGGACACCCCGATGTGCCTTTGCAAGCCTTAATAAAGGGAATCTTCTCGACGAAACTGAAAATTCCAAGTTACTTTCTTTGTTCGGTGGTGCTGCAGTTTTTACTACGAGTACGGTGGTATTTCATCAGCATAGATTTGTCGGATCTTGCAAATCAACCCTGCAAGTACTGATTCTGATTCCAAACGCTTCGAATTCTTCAACGTGCTCAGGGATTCAGGGTGGGTAGGTTGGGTGTAGAAACATACCACTGGAGGGCAAGACAGTGTTCTGATGGCAGGAAAATGACGGAAAACGTCGTTTCCACGGGCGTCCGCTCTGTCGGAAACGGCACGGATTTCCCGGGTGAAGCTTCCGAGGCATCCACAATCCAGGTTCAAAGATTGGTCGACCCGCATCCATTGATGCCTGCATGGGATAGTTCTATCACGGCTATGCAGCTCGATGGGCGAGTGAAAGTCCGCCACAAGGCCTGCACATCCAGTGATCCCACCAGTCTGTCTTCAGTGCAGCCCAAAGGCCTGAGTACAGCTGTGTCCAACTCGGAACCTGGAGACCTTTCCTTGACCAATGGGTCTTTAGACGTTCAAAAGGCATCAAATAAATTCTTTGACTTGACATATATATTTATATAACTTAAGAAATTGATTATTTCAATTTAACGTTCAATTATATAGTTTTCCTCAGAACATGTTCTTCTACCTTCAAAGAAACCTCCTCCGAATCTCAGTCACTCGACAGCTCGATGAAGGGGCAGTCGATGACCTTCGTTTTCACCTCGCCCTGTGAAGTGCGTCCGGCTATGTTTGGCCATGTAGCGCCCCTAGTAGCATCCTTGCTCCTAGTAAGGCCTGGAGCCCCTAGTAGCGTCCTTGCTCCTTGTTGAAAGCGCAGTGCTCCTGTATGTTGGCCACTCCAGTAAAACATGTCAGCGGCACTTTGTCATCCTTGACCAAGCGCTCACGACTGAGCACATCCCACCTGACACAGTAGCTGTTCTTGCAGGGGGTAAGTTCGTGGGTACGTGTCGCTGCACGTGGAGATGTGCCAACAATCGCCAATCTCGAGTGTTCCAACATGGAGTCAGACACTGATATGGATCTTGCACTGGAAAGCCCATGCTTAGGTGTCGACTCTGAAGGCTTGCTGGGATCACAATTGCAGATCGAGTTCTCCACCACCTCAGAAACTTTACATCGCAAGTTGAAACGCGGAAGAATCCATCTTCAATGAAGAAATCATAAGAAACTTCGAGCCTCAATCTTGGGAAGAACTCCTCGAAGCGAACGAGCCAGTGTCCTCAAGCCAGAGCTGCTTGTTGCATCTGTTTCCATTCCTCTTTCGGATGGCAAGGCCCAATATGAAACTGACCCGCCCTGGACTGAGCTGGCCGACGTTTTACCTGTTCCATGGCCGCCAGAAATTCCTAGTAGGCACTTTTGATGGTTAGTTTTGTGGGCTGCAAAGTCAAAGTGAAACGGCCACTCTCTGACCTACTCCGCCAAGAGAAGGATCAATGCATGCCTTAGAAGCTGCTGTTCTTGCTCACAGAAGCTGCTTGCTGCTGTGAGACACACATGCAAGAAATTGAAATCGAGTCCGTAAAAATCACTTCCGAGTTGGTGCAGGCTCACTCAGAACCAGTCCAATTTCAAGGCCAACTTTACTTCTTCGAGACCTTCCACTCGAGTCATCGGAATCACCTCAATGTTCACAGAATTCCATTCAGCTGCTGTTGTGTTTATTGTTTCTTACATGCCTTGTTTCGCTGAAGATGGGACCATCCCTCGTCCTTTCGAGTCTGCCTGTCCGGATGCTTGCTCGGCAAATCTGAGACAGCAACCTTGTTGACACCCAACGGGGAACTAGCCACTTCTCAGGTGTCAAGCACTTTTCTACGCCTCCGCTTCTACTGCCTTGACTTTGTCATCCACAGCAGATCTCACCTCGAATACATTAGCTTAGCATCGTTCGGTCGCAGCACGATCGATTCTATCAGGCCAAGGCGATAATTCTTCTGCGACCTCTGGAAACTTTGGAGGTTGCAAAGGGAATTGCCAGCAGCGAGCCTGAAGAATCACTGGCGACAGCATCACTGCATGATATCACCAAAAAACGCTCAATCAGCAATGTGTGAGTATGTGTGGGTGTGTGAACCACCTCGGATCGACCCAAACCGGCGTTACCGCATGGCACCTGTGCCCAGAGAGAGCCTAGACAAACGAGGCCGCTCACACCTGCAGTGCGCTGAAATCAAAGCAACAAACAATATGAACATTGATATAGTATAATACGATCAACCATACATACCAGCATAGACCCCAAACAGCCTAGTTGGCAAGAATTGTTGTTGTTGTGGTGGTGGTGGTGGTCGTGGTCGTGGTGGTGGTGGTGGCGGCCGCAGCCCCACCCTGCCCCGGAAAGCAACGTAAATAGCACAACAGCAGCAGGACAACCGAAAGACCAGAGACGGACATTTGGAGGACAACAGAAGACAAAAGGATGAGGGAAGGATAGCAACATGAACACACCAAGAGGACAAAAGAAGGACAAGCTGTACACCAAAAGGGCAACAGGACAACATGAGGGGGGCAAGAGGAGAACAAGACGAAGAGAGGACAAGAGAAAAACAAGACGACGACGGGAGGAGTATGATTGGAGGTTTGCAGCCGCGGCCAACGAACACCTGAAGAAGGACAACAAGAAGGCAATAGAAGAGCATGAGGAGGACAGGACCGAAAAGATTGTGATAAGAGGAGGGGAGGAGGACATCCGGACAGTACTTGCCGGCGCGGCCTGACATTGTGGCCAGCAGGACAATAGGAGGACAAGAAGAGGACATCGGCTTCTGAGGTTGCTTCCTGTAGTTGTCTTGGTAGTGCCTCACTGCTTTGTAGTGCGCTCTTGCATGTGGTCATGTCTACATGCTGACAGGCTGCCATTTGGCCATGTTGCGGTACCGCGGTCTTCGCGGTTGCCGGCTGGCGCTTTCCTACTAGGTCCTAGGTGCCACACAAGGCTTGCGCAAGTGCGCTTGGAGACGGTGCTTTGTGCGCGCACGCTGTCGTGGTATCACTTCTATATACATGCCGCCATGCTGTCATCTGGACAACAGCAGAAGAACAACAAGGGGACAACAGGAGGACAAGAAGAGGACAACGGGAGCACAAGAGGAGGACAACAGGAGGACAAGGTCTAGAGACTGGCTGGCAGCCGTGGCCAAGCTGGTCAACAAGACGAACAGGAAAAGAGAGAAAAAAAAGAGGACAACAGGAGGACAAGGTGTGGAGACCGGCTGGCAGCCGCGGCCAAGCTGCACACCAGAAGAAGGACAAGAGGAGGGCAACAGGAGGACAACGCCCGGGCAACGCATTCCCGGCGGCTAGAGACTGTGGCCACCCCAACAGTAAACTGTTTGAGGAAAAAACTCATAAGTCGCTAATGTTCTAGTTGTTTCCCGGTGTTTCTTCACATCTCCGTTTTTAGGCCTGTGCCTCCTTTGGCTCCGTTGACGAATATCTGCTGGCTGCAACCGCCTGAAGGCACTTCTTGCGCAAACAGCGCACCCGGCGCGAGTCGGGATGAGTCCGAGGCCTCAAGGGAGTCCAAGAACTTAGTTCCATGGCCATGCCCTCAGACCATCGACTGCGAATCTAGCGCCCTTTGCATGAAGACACATGAAAGAGTCCTTCAAGAACCTTCATAGCGATTAAATTGATCAATGCCAGCCAATGGATGTCACCATTAAACCCTTTTCAGGCCCAGGCTGAGGCAGCGTGCGCCTTCCGGCCCTTTCTCTAAGATCAGGCACCCTTCATAAAAGAAAAGCCAAAGCTGCAAATGACAACCTTTCTGCAGCTTCCAGTACCCACCGTGGACTATTCTAGGTTTAATCTTTTGTGCAGAACAGCAGGCAATAAAAATGTATAAAACTTCAATGTCCTGCTAAGTCGAGGTGCAATTGCACATGCATGTCGACAGCATGGATCAAGGAAGCGAAATCCGGTTTTGGGGTGGGTGCTGAAACACACAGTTCCATCGTGGTTTGCACCTGCCGCCTCGCAAAACGCATTGGTATGGCTGCGTTCCAGATTGGCAAAACGCATTGGCATGGCTGCGCTGAATGGCGCTTGAGATTCTCTGGCGCGTCGATTCTTATTGTGATTTGCAAATGCGGAGTCGCAAAACGCATTGGGATGCATCATGCACAGAATTGATTCGTGCACAGCATGGCGAGGAGGCCATCCGCTGAGGCAGCGCTGCGCCCACCTTCGGTTATTGAAGGAAATCTGGCGAAAGAGCTTCGTTCTCTTAGATGGAACTTGCACTCCTGATGAAGTCTCACACGAAACCTCTTTTCTCGCAATTTTGGCGGGTTGCGTTTTCCGTTTAAAATTCCTTCAAAAAAACGATTCGCAATCGTAATTCTGTCTTGGAGCCGCAATCCGGTTTCGGTATGTCCACCGGGCGAGCTGAAACAGGCAGTTCCATGGTGATTTGCACCTGCCGCCTCGCAAAACACATTAGCATAGCTGCGCTCAATGGTGCTTGGGATGCGCTGGTACGTTGATATTCTTATTGTGATTTCCAATCACAAAAATCGCAAAACGCATTGCCATGGCTGCGCCCACCTTCGGTCATTGAAGGAAATCTCGCACAAGAGCTAATCCGCCGACCCCACACCGTGGGGTCAGGGCGTGACTGTTGATGTTAGCCTTAGACCTAGTCCTTAGCCTTAGACCTAGACCTTAGACCTTACCTCCCCTACCCCTCCGGACCCTTGTTACAGTGACGAAGTTCTGCTAAAAAAGCGACCGAAGGTGACGTGGATTGTCCAAGAATCTGCCATCCCCAATTGATTTACATCTTGGGGCACCCTCCCGACCCGCGCGGGAAAATAAGCACGGTCCAAAATGGTCCTGGGCTCGAATCCCGGGCTGGTCGCGGCATGGTCCTGGCCAATGCCCTTGCTTTTTCGTAGATTTTGTCATATTTTCTGTTGGTTTATGAAATTTTCAAAGGCTTTTCTGGCATTTTCCTAGGAATGCTCTAGGCTTTGTCTTTTTGGGTACCTGCTTTGGTGGTGCTGGGTTGGGTCTAAATTGGTAAACCTGGGAGGTACCCAAAAAGTCGACTTTTTGGGTACCTGCTTTGGTGGTGAAGGGTTGGGTCTAAATTCTTGGGCAATGGTCGGGGTTCATGCAAGAGCTGACGTCCGATGGTAAATCTGGGAGGTACCCAAAAAGTCGACTTTTTGGGTACCTGTTTTGGTGGTGCTGGGTTGGGTCTGCACTCTTAAGGCTAAGGCTAAGGCTTAAGGCTAAGGCTAACATAGAGCAAGGCTAGCGCTAAGGTTCTATCCCTTGGGGGTCGGCGGCTGCAGGCGGTAGCCTGGTAAATCCGGGCGCCGGCCACGAAGCCCGTGCCCTGCCCGGAGGGCCTTCGGTGGTAACCGAAGGTTATAGACGGGCGCGCCCCCTGCCGCCGACCCACCGCCGACCCTCGTCACCAAAACGGGGGGACCACCGAGTCACTGATATCAACGTAATTTACAGGGTTTCGTGTGTGTGAGGTATAAAAACACTGTGTTTTACAGGGTTTGGGGGCCCTCGGCGGCCGAGAATTTCATCTGGGCGATGTCAAAAAACCTAGGTTTTTTCATGGTTTTTGCTTTGCGGGAAGGAAAAAATCGCCAAAAGTTGTATCGGAAGATTTTTTCAACATAAATCGCCTAACATATCCCCAACATAGGCCCAAGATAGCCAACAGATCCCCAACATATGCCCCACATAGCCTCCAAGATGGCTCAACATAGGGCCAACATAGGCCAACTTGGGGCCAACAGACGCCAACATAGGCCCAACATAGGCCCAAGATAGCCAACACATCCCCAACATATGCCCAACATAGCCTCCAAGATGGCTCAACATAGGGCCAACATAGGCCAACTAGGGGCCAACAGACGCCAACATAGGCCCAACATAGGCCCAACCGAGGCCAACATAGGGTTAACGTGCTCAACCGTAGGATCAATATGGGCCCCAGATGTGCTCTTTGTGGCCAACATATCCCTTTACAGGGTTTCGGGCCCCTCGGCAGCCGAGAATTTCAGCTTGGCGACGCAAAAAAAAACACGTCGGTTTTTTCAGTGTTTTTGGTTTGCGGGAAGGAACAAATCGTCAAAAGTTGTATCGGAAGATTTTTTCAACATAATTCCTAACATATCGCCAACAGAGGCCCTAGATAGCCAACATATTCCCAACATATGGCCAACATAGCCTCCAAGATGGCTCAACATAGGGCCAACGTAGCTCTTTGTAGCCAACATATCCCTTTACAGGGTTTCGGGCCCCTCGGCAGCCGAGAATTTCAGCTTGGCGATGTGAAAAGAAAAACGTAGGTTTTTTCAGTGTTTTTGGTTGCAACGGCTCTCCCGACTTTCGGCTTCTGCTTAGAGAAGCCAGGGCAGTCAGCCTCCTCCCGTGTGGAGGATGCTGCTGGGATGCCCTATGTCCCAGCCCTCGCGCTAACCTCTGTTCTGGCAATACGAAATAGGCTGGAACGAAAGTCTCACTGTCGCCAGATACCTGCGAGTCATCACCGGGGGTGTGGGTAGCTGGCATGAGCGACGCTCTGGCCAGAGGCGAAGTTGACCTCTGGCTTTCTTCTGGGGATACGAAACAGGTTCGAAGAAAATTCTCCTGGAATCCACGTTCACAAGACAGCAGGGATGCCCCATGTCCCAGGCCCGCGCAAACCTCTGTTCTGGCATGCTTTGTTTGTAACTGTTTGTCTGTTTCTGGTTTACTGCGTCTTGGTGTACAGTGTGTCGCGCGTGCAAGAAAGACACGAAAGCGCACAGCACAAGACAGCTGCATTCCACATTCACAGGAAAAAGCACAAGGAAAAACACATTCGCTCCTTTTTTCTTTCCGCTCGGAGTCGTTCAGCCGTTGCTGTCGAAGTGGGGTTGCCCGAAACAGGATCGAGCTCTGGTTTTGTTCTGGCAATACGAAATAGGCTGGAACGAAAGTCTGACTGTCGCCAGATACCTGCGAGGCATCACCGGGGTTGTGGGTAGCTGGCATGAACGACGCTCTGGCCACTAGCTCACAGCTTTCGTTTGGCAAAACTCTGCGTCGACATCTCTGACACTGCAAGGGCGTGCAATGTCCGAGTGGGCATTAGGGCTGGAGGTTGGAAATGAGGGTCATGAAACTGTTTCAAAGTACGGCACTTGTTCTTCGAGGACCCCGGGAGGGACAAGTCCCCTCAGGCAGGTTTTTCATACGAGTTCATGCGTCTTTTTTTGGGTACGGCTCCAAGTTGCGTGTTATGAGGTGGAGCAGCTGCGTTTGTGGTCTGACAGTTTTGGCATACCCAAGTTGGCAGGTGTCGAACGTGGTACTGGTTATTCGTCTGGGATGGGCGTTCGGCGCCACAACCTGCACTGCATGGTGGGAAGGCACAGGCTGGGCATTGAGCGTCAGCTCTGGCTCGTGCACCTAAGGGCTTGCCACAAGTGGAGCAGCACTTGTTTGCGCAGCCCTCGCATGTCCATTGTGGCTGGACCTTGGCATGGTACCCTGTTGCCTTCGGCCGAGGGCGGCCACACTTGTCGCATGGTGGATAGGCACAAGCTTGACACCATGTGTCGGCTGTTGCCTGTCCGCGCATGGCTCGGCCACACTGACTGCACGCTTTTGGGAGACACTTTGCACAGGTCCACTCAGGCATGTTTTTCACATGGTAAGCACGGTCATCTGGGCGGGCTGCACCACAGCCGGGACAAGGTGGGTAACCGTCCCGACAGGTGTCACAGTACCACTCTGGATTGTTTTGGGCATGGTACTTGAGGTTCTTGTTGGGACGATGCTGCCCGCAACCACCCCTGCAAGGAGGAAACGCACAGTTCACACACCAGTCCTGATACTTTCCGGGGATGGCATCGCACTGGACGCATTTTTTGGTGAGACATTTTTGACAAGTCCATGCGGGCATGCGCTTGGCGTGGTATTTTCCGTTTTGGGGTCGTTTTTCTGTCCCACAACCATCGCAGTTGGGATATGCACAATCCAAGCGCCAGGCTCCCAGTGTTGCAACGGCGTTGACGGGCTGGGAGCACTGGGGACAAGTCTTTGGCGCTCGTTCGTGCTCGCCTTGGAGGCATTTTTTGGCTAGACATTTTTGACAAGTCCATTCGGGCATGCGCTTGGCGTGGTATTTTCCGTTCTGGGGCCGTTTTTCGTTCCCGCAACCATCGCAGTTGGGATACGCACAATCTAAGCACCAGGCTCCCAGTGTGGCCGCGGCTTTGACGGGCTGGGAGCACTGAGGACAAGTCTTGGGTGCGCGTTCACGCTTGCCTGTACAAGCCCGACACACACCGGCGTTGGTCTCATAGGAGTAGTTGCGCAGGTGGGTTATGCTTATGGCTTTGTCGCACTGGATGCAGAGTCCTTGCTTGGCCGTGGCTGAAGGCGTCTTCGCAACACAGGTCTTGCAGCGAGCACGCCGCACATCGTTGGTGGCTTTTTTGCGACGAATTTCTTCCGGGGTAAACTGGTGTAGGGTTTTGGTGGGTATTTTTTTTCCTTTGTCACATCTGGCACAGGACAGACGCACTGTGGAGAGGCAGTGGCGACAAAAGCCGGCCTTTGTGGAGGGACCGTGTTTTCCTCTGCAATGTGCACATGCATCTGGTGCATCTGTTGGTGTTGGAGGCTGCTTTCCTGACGCTGGGCTTCGGCACTGCGTGCAAAGACGGTCCATTCCTTGTTTCAAATTTTCATACCAGGCTTCCCGGTCCCAGACAGTGACGAAGTCTCGAAGGGGT